CAGTCTTGAAGACCTCCCCCAATCAGGCACCATGCTAACCAGTGCGAGAGTAGACCAACTTGGCGATGAACACAGGGGGTCCAAGATTTGCCCTTCATAACATGAATCACCCCTTCACGGGGAACATGTAGGGAGCCCTAAACGACCACCTTCGCTCATCCGAAAAACAAACATCAGTCAAATTGGTGTTTCGTTACATAGGAGAGCATAAAAATGCATGGTTTTCTTGTAGCTTCCCTGAGAAAAAGACCAGCCAAATAGGGTAGTAAGCCACAATATCACAATGACACTGACAATCAAAAAAGCAAAGGAAATGGAGAACCCAAAGCTGACGCCATCAACCTGCAAAACCAAAAGGGGCCAACCCAAAACGGATACTCCGATGGTTCCCTTCGTGGTTGGACTTGGCCATGAAGCCGAGGGCCGGAAAACGGTTGCCCCCGATCCGAGGAAATGGACGATTTCAGGGGGTTCGCCCCATTTGCCCCAGTGATCCAAACTCCAGCTGTAGGGTCCTCTATGCAGAGCACCCGGGTCCTCAACCGTACACCCCGAGTTGCCTGAATTTCGGGGTCTCAAAACCTGCGGTGATTTCGGAGCCAACCAGAACCACCGATGGCACCCGCAGGCGGAAATAGGATGAGCAGAATCTGAAGTTATGTGCCCGGGGTTGGCTCACGCAAGTTCCCTTTAAGGCTGAAAATGAAAGGCGTACCTTGTGAAACCTTGACGAATTCTGGACAGAAACGGGGAAACCAAGGCTGAGAAGTCGATTGGCTCTGGACAAGTGAGTTGGGCAAAAGGGAATGGCAAGTACATGAGTGGACGAAATCCTGCACAACTTTGAACCCATGAAAAACCATTCATTGTTGGGAAATCATCGTTCCAGGGTTTCTTAAGTGGTGCAGGATTTCGTCCATCCACAGTAGGTCGGCTCTTGAACTAGACTGCTACGCAGCAAGCACATCTGCGAAAACCCACAGCAGAAGATACATGACACTGGAACTCCAGGAGTCACGCCCCGCAATGTCATAAAGGTGGGGTTAAAGCAGGGTGGTCCTGTTGCCCCGTTTTTCTTGCTGGGGGGGGGGAGGGTTGGCAAATGGGATTCTACACTTTGAGGAGGAACTCGTACCATTTTTCCCAGCCAGGGCTCTCTCAACGCACAACCCAAAAGACTCCCAAACCGATCCGCCGATCCGGGGTCTACCGAGCAGCGTTCGCAGGCTGCAGGCAAATGTGGTGCTCATGGTTTGCCATGGCTTCCTCAGGGGGTTCCCTCAGATGCCCAGTGGCCATGGGAGAAAAAAGCAACCTTTTTTGGTTGGTTGACTTTAAAGGGGAACCCCTGGGCAACTGGGTTCCTTGAACCTAGACAAACCCAGAGTCGCTGGAAATGTTCATGGGCAAAACTCACTTCCGATCGAGTTGAGGAGTGTTTGCCACCAAAATGGCCTTCCCAAAAAGTGACGAAAGTTCAGGAACTCAGGAAGTGAGAAACAAAACCTATTTACAACTAAAATGGTCTTTCCAAAAAGTTTAAAGTCCACATAAGTCCACCAACTCAGGAAGTGAGAAGAACAGGTGGAATGTGATGGCTGGGAACTACGGCTAGGAAGCCCCTGGTTTGAGGCATGGGTCCCGATGTTGCTCGAGTGATACCTCCGAAATATCCGAAACACATGCCAAGCATAGGTGTCCTTTCTGGAAAATAGATGGCCCTGGTAGATGATTGAGCCACTAGGAAAACCAGGGCCTTCTATTTTTCTACCAAACCAACCAAAAAGGACACCCATGATGCCAAGGGAACAAGGCCAACCTTGGGTCTCAAGGTCCGACTCACATCGATGTTGTGAGCTTGAGAACGGAACCATCGGCGAAGAGAATTGGAACCAACCCTTTTCAGGCAAACAGGCCTTCAAAGAAGCCTCCCCTCTCTTCCGGCATCAAGCAGTTTTAGGTACCAATTCTTATTGGTACCGGAACCCTGCTTCCAAGCCGAGCCTTCTTTTGATTCGTACCCTGGCGAACAGCTCTTTTATTGAAGCTTCCGAAACGAGGTGCTTCACCATCTCTTCTCTTTGCAGTATTTTGATGGCAATACTCATACACATGTTTTTGTTGAGCTTAAGCAGGAAATACCCCGTCTACACTTGGTATTTAACCTCCATTCCTTACCTCCAAAATATTCCTGTGTGCAGAATGGGGCCTAGACACAGCAAAAGTAATACACATCCCCTGGCTCCCTGTTTGGAGACGAAAGGAAGAAACCCGGGCTGTAAAGGCTCCAGACGTTCCTTTGCCAACATCTGGGTCTAGTTGACTCTGTTCTATATTAAGTCCACGCTGATTGTATCGGTCCATATATGAATCCATGGCCATTTTGGACCTCAAAACGAAGTGATTTCCCACAAATCCATAACTATATTGGTTCATCAGTCCATAGACGGTGGGGGTCATACCAGAGGAATGCAGAAATATATGGGCGTATACATTCAGCCTTTGATACTGTGGGTGGACGAAATCCATGCTTGAAACCATAGCGTTGGTTGGTAGGTGCAGGGGAATCATTGTTTCAGGGTTTCTGAACTGGTGCAACATGGATTTCGCAACCATCCACATGGTCGTCTTCGTCTTCTCCCACAAAACGGGTGTGTGTTTCTTCTAGGCATCCCCCACAATGGTAGTAACACATTTAAATTTGGAAAAAAACACGTCTTAACATTAACATCGGAAAAATTGTCACTCCGTAGCATTTGGGATAGGCCAGAAGTGATAGATCCCCTTTAAAACCCCAACTGGGCAAAATGACAAACATATTGAGTTCAGCCAAGCTTGAGCCACTCCACCCCAACTCCAAAACAGGGGAAAAGGAACAACCAATTCCGTTCAGCCAATGGAGTGGCTTCCACAACTCCACCCCAACTCGAAGAAACCGCGTCCTTTCGTCTCCATCCATCCCCCCGGTTTTTCTCCGATCCCTCATCCAGAAGAGAGGTTAGACTAAGGGAATCAACTTTTTTTCTGTAGTCTGGGAACCCTCCCAAAACAAGTTGGGAGAAGAAGGGCACCTCGGGGGACCTAGCCTCAGTCACCGCCGAAACGGATCTTCGTTTCACTTCACGATCCTCGCCTCGGAGGCTAAGGGCGTGAGCATGAAGGGCCGCCAGGGCAGCTGGTACCCCAGCAGCGTCTCCTGAGTCCAGCAGTTTGGATGTCGGTTTTTGGGCCAAGGGTGTGGGTGGGTGGGTGGGTGGGTGGGTGGGTGGGTGGGTGGGTGGGTGGGTGGGTGGGTGGGTGGGTGGGTGGGTGGGTGGGTGGGTGGGTGGGTGGGTGGGTGGGTGGGTGGGTGGGTGGGTGGGTGGGTGGGTGGGTGGGTGGGTGGGTGGGTGGGTGGGTGGGTGGGTGGGTGGGTGGGTGGGTGGGTGGGTGGGTGGGTGGGTGGGTGGGTGGGTGGGTGGGTGGGTGGGTTGGTGGGGTGGATGGGTGGGTTGGTGGGGTGGGTGGTGTGGCTGGGTGGGTGGGTGGGTGGCTGGCTGGGTGGGTGGGCGGCTGGGTGGGTGGTTGGGTGGGTGGGTGGGGTTTCTCGGGGTTTCCTTTGAAGCAGATGTTTGGCAATCTGCTGGTTGAAGGTACTTGTTTCTGGCAATTATTGAATTCAAGCTAAAAGAGCAATCTGTTTCTTTTAGGCTTCGGAGCCCCAAGGGTGGGTTTGCTTTTGGCGTCCCAAGAAATAAGAACCAAGTTGGTAGCTTTGGTGTGTCCTTTCCTTGAGTTGGTACATTCTTGGCTGGAATTAGAACCCCAGCAAAAAATATATTTTTTGCCTGGTTAGTGGAAAACAAAGGGAACCCCAAAAAAGCAAAAAAGCAAAAAGGGGAGCTAATTCTGGGGAAGCATTGTTGATTTTTTGTGGATCGAAAGGCACGCTGAATCTTTGTGGGGGTCCCCCAGAAAACAAGCCAATGAGTCCATGTAGGCGTCTTCTAGGATTCGGACCCAAGGCTGGGTTTCACATGTTGGGTTCATTTAAAGAATGAGCCCCAAGTTGGTACCCTGAAACAAACTGATGGGGAAGATGATTTCGGAAAACGGTGAATGGTCTCAACATATGAGAGGGCAACCCTCATGACTTCCATTTGAAGTGGGGATTCTGCCGTTGGAAGAAGTTGGTTGCTCTCACTCAGCAATTGAAAAACAATTTAAGAACACACTGCACTATATGTCAACAGCCTCTTTTGGAAGAACTCTGTTGGAGAAGAACCAACATTTTGTGGCATCCCTATGTTTTCACCAACCCATATGCTTAGTCAATATGCAATTGACTAGCGCTAGAAGCCATGCTGTGTCTACCATCATGATTGCAGCGAAGGGCAAACATGAACCTGCCCACCAACAATTCTGGAAGTGCAGTCAGTGCAGTCCCCAAAAAGATTAAGCTGTTGTTGGCAAGAACATAATTTTATCCGCGTGCACTTCTATGCCTCTTGACGGGAGGGTAAGATGCTACCATACACTTAGCCATCTGGAAACTCTATAGGCATTCCAAATACAACCCACTTTGTGAGCGGATGGCTCAAAAAGTCCAAACCTTTTGAGTGCCGCTAAAACGGTCTTCCAAAAAAGCACTAAGGAATCTCCAGGCAGACCGATCTACACCACGGCTTGAGCTAGTTTTGGCTCGGTGCGCAAAAGCCCTCCCCCCCTCCCCCGCCAAAGTGAGCAGTGAGCTCCTGGTCTGGGCCCTGTAGGATCGTGCTGGAGCCTTGGGCGGTTTGGACTTGGAACGCCGCGGGTCATGAAACGCTGAGCTTTAACCAGCGATCCTGGCGGCCACTGGGGAACACTTCTAGGTCCTCCAGTAGAGAGCTTAGAATAAGGGTACCAACTTGTTGTCTGTCTATTTTAGTAGGGGAACCCTCCCAACCACGAAAGGGGTGAGAAAGGGCACTACTGGGGGACCTAGACTTTTTTGGGGCATCTTTCGTGAAGCATCCACTGAACAACTGAGAGTATGCAAGTCTGCAAGTGCATCTGCACTATGAGAGTTCACCAACCTGAATGCAAGGATCCACGAGGAACCTTTTAGCGTTGGTTTTCGCAAGAGCGCGCTTTATCCAAAGGTGAGGCTTGTGTCTGCACAGCCTAGGGGGGCATTCTGTTACCACTTCTTCGAGACGATGGGCATACTTCGAACCGGACATCTGCATCTTTCCGCTCTTGAACACTGCGCGATTTGTGCCAATACACTTTCAACTGGCCGAAACGTGCGGCTTGTGACGCCTGCAAAAAGGCAAGCATTCCAAGAAGAGGTTCTTAGACGGACTCGCCTGACACTCAGGGGCCGCTCTTTGCCCCTCTGAGTCACAAGCTGAAGGTTCGGTTTGAACAAGGCCTTGGCCCAAACCCGCCGAAGCCCAACCCCCGTGGCCAAATTATTGCGAACCCACCCGCAAGGAAGAAATCGACCCCTGTGGATGGGCGAACTCCGTTCGCACCACCTAAGACACCCTGGAATGACATTCGGATTCCGCTGTAAATGCCAACAAGCCATGGGTTTCAACCATGGATTCCAAGTGGTGCGAAATGGATTTCGCGACCATCCGTACGAAAGAAACCTCAGGTGAGGTCGCAAACCCCCGAACTGATGCGACGTCGCTTCCTTTCTGGGCTGCCCCCTCCGCCCCGCCGCGAAAGAGGAGCAGACAAATCGAGAGATCGCCCTTGTGAGGGTCAAGAGTAGGGTAACCCCACAATGGGCTGCCGTAAATGGGAAAAAGGAACGACCTGGGGTCCATATCCTAGTTTATTCTTGACCCATGACCATACCCTTTTGGAGGTTTCATTCGGATAAGCATGGGCAAGTCCTGTTTTGGCGCGCTCAGAAAGAGGGTCTTTCCTGGGTTGCAACCTTTGTCTGAGTGGATGGGCCAAAACACGTCTAAACCTTGTGTTTTCGACCAACATCATCTTACCAACAAGTACTAAAAGTCCGAGATGAAACTCAGGACGCGAGTTGTAGGTTTCAGTTGGACAACCCATTTGTTGCCAAACTCAGTTCCGATCGAGTGGACTCACGCCGGACATGAGAACAAACTTACTTGTGCTTACCACTAGAACGGCAACCAAATTCCCCCAACGTGGCTAAAGTCAACATGAACTCAGCGAGTGAGAAAAAGGTGGCACCCCTCAAAAAAGACACACCCACCCTAAGGGTCAACCGACCCCTCCAATGCACATGCCCGGGCCCTCGAAAGAAGAACCCCGACCAATTCCTCAAGGGCCCAAGGGAAAAGAACCAGTTTTGAAGGCCCAAAAACCATCGAGACCCGTGGTCGTTGTTCGTTTTCTCCGAAAGGTCCTTTTGGGTCCATAACGGCCATGGTGTCCCAGAAAAAAACCCGGCCAAAACCGAACCTCGCTTCAATCTGAGCGGCGGCAGCTCCTGAGTGGCGGAGCTGAAAACCTACTGGAAAATGTGTTTTTTGTGTGCTCTGAAATCCCTGGCAAGGTCGACAAATGGGTGTGGCTCAAAATTGAAGAGCTGGGGCTACGCAGCTTTTAGTCTTTGGTCCCATTTCCCAAGGTGCCATTTTGGTACATTTATTTGAGCCATAACCAAATGGACAAATCTCGGTTGCTTTCTGCTCCCCTGCTAAAAGTGACCAACTTTTAGCGGTTCAATACGGAACACCCATCAGTTGGATCAAAAGGTTGAAGTCAACTAACATCCAAGCAAAAAAAAAACGCCAACGAAACGGGTAAAGGGCAAAAACGCACACCCGGCCTTTTCCAGCGTCCGCTTGAAGGGTTGGGAAACACGTTTAGAAAAACCCAACCAAACCAGGGGACAACGGTGACTCCTCACTGGCTGAGTGGATGGCCCCAAAAAAAGTCCAAACTGTATATTTACCACTAAAATAGTCTTCCCAAAAAGTTTAAAGTTCATGAACTCAGGAAGTGAGTGACACAAATCAAAACAGCGGCTTCCAAAAAGGGGCGGCGTGCGACTCGATTTCCCCAACGGCAACACTGGCACTTCGCTTCCGTAAAAAGAAATCCGCCAAGCGAGGAGTGGAGGTGAAACTCGACTTTTCCGCACCTTTGCCTTGGTTGCTGTTGACCCCCCCTGCAAAAAGTTGACAACTTTTTGGGGGTTTAGTGGAAAACCCATGAATTTCCCAAAAAGGTTAAAGTCTAAAGATCCAACCCAATAGCAGTCAAGTTTGCTTTCACGAACTTGCGAAGGTTTCACCGCATCCCCCGAAGACAAACACGGAACATCCCACGATCCAGAGGAGTTGATCCCCTTGAACGAAGATCCTGAGAGCTTCGTCGGTGCCGTAGGGCCCTGTACGAAAGGAGCAACTCGGGTGAGACTGTGGAAAACCATGAGAAGACATTTCCAGCAGTGAAATCCATTCCATTTTAAGCCGGAAAGAATACACATTTCAGGCAAGTGGAAGCTAAAATCTGGGAACCCGATATTCATTTTTCAGTCAGCAAATGGAAGATAATATCAGGGAATTCTAGGGTAAGGGTTCCATACAAAAAGGGCTTGCAACAGGCTGCCTGTTTTTTGCAGCCCCCAAACCTAAAAATGAACAAACCAAACAACTAAAAAAGCAAAAAACACTTGCCTTGCCTAGAACAGTGAAGTATTAATTGGCATTTAGGGCTCGGCCCCCCGGCCTGCCACGAACAACAAAAATGATTCAGAACACCCCCCAAGAAGGATTCCATGTAAAACCGATTATTATTATGTTTAATACATATTGATCCAAGAACACCCCCCTAGCAAAGCAACCACGAAAACGAACACCACCCCTCGCCCAGGACTGCCCCCGGAGCTGTCTTTCGCTTTCCGCGTCAGGGCGCTGGCGGCCGAAGGCGCAGGTCTGGCAGTCCGCGACCTTCTCCACGATGGCCACGCAGGGCTCCGAGCCGTTCGGTGAGCCAGGGAGCGCCTTTGGCGATTGAAACCCGGAATGTTGGCGGCACCTCATGGGTTTTCCTTGTTTCGTTCCTTGTAAAGTCCAGAAATATGGGGTAGCCTTCAAAAAAGGACTTCGTTGTTTGTGGGTTGATTTGTTTTCATGAATGCCTGAAATTCTCTGACGTTTTCAGGTTATGTGTGTCTTTGTCAGGCAATTCTGCATATTGGGAACCCCGGGCTAGGGGTGTCACCCCCAAAATTGAAGGAACCTCACTAAAAGGTATTCATCAGGTTTTGTTGATTTTGCAGGGTTCCCATGAATTATGTTGCTGCGTTTTCTTTGTCAGGCAATTCTGCATATTGTGAACCCCGGGTTAGGGGGGGAACCTCCATGGTGTTTGTCTTGGGTTTCTTGTAAAATCAGAAATATGGGGTACCCTTCCAAAAAGGACGCTACCAACATGTTCTTTTGGGTGCAAGCAGGCCTCTTTCAGGTGAGCCTCAAATTGTGATTTGGACTGGTGGTTTGGGGGTTGAAACCCGGTTCTTGTAGAGCTTAAAAGGGGTTGGGCTTGGTTGAGGCAACTTTTTGTTGGTGGTTTTTGGACGACCTTGTTTCCCTGATAAACCCACCCCGTACTAATAAACTGGAGTGATTCACATGGGGTCAACACGAACCCTTACTTGGTGGTTTGGATTTGGATTTGAAGCCCTGCTTCTGGTCAATGGTAGATGGTAGATTCCCCAACCAGCAAACCACCAATTCGGCTCCAAGCCACCCGTCGAGATCGGCACCTCCGGTTGAAGGGTCCCTTGATCCCAGCGGAGTGCGCTGCAAGCTGGACAACCCCTTATTCAGAACAAGTTTAGGCCGAGTTTTGCAAGATGGACACGCTTTCCCGAAAAGTCTCGATGGTTTCCGGGCCCTCAAACCTGGTTGTTCTCAAAAGCCCCCGACAGGTCGGGGTTCTCCATTCGAGGTCCGGGAAAAGGGGGGGGGCATTGGAGGGGGCATGACCCTATAGGAAACCAAACCTGAACTTTCGAGTTACTACCAAAATGGCCTCCCAAAAAGCTTTAAGTCCGAGAACTCGGGAAGCGAGACTACAAGGTTAACTGGATATGGAAAAACCATGGATCAACAGATTGGAGAGTCAACTTGGGGTCAACTTACTAGGGGTTGCGTTGCCAAGTTAATAAGTGGTTGCAACACAAATGCAGAATGGTCTTACAAAAAATGGGAAACTCGGAAAAGCAAAACCCCTGGTTGATTAATACTTTTGGTGGGATTCCTTCAATTTTGTGGGTGACTTCCCCTAACCCGGGCTTCCCAATATGCAAGACTGCCTGACAAAGAAACCCATAACCTGAAAACTTCAGAGTTTTTGAGGCATTAATTAAAACAAATCAACCCAACAAACAACGGGAATGGGTGTCCGAACAAGGGGGCCCAACAATGGAACAATAGATGCCGACTCTCACTTTAAAAAAGCCTCAAAATTCATAGCCTCAAACAAACTACACGCAAAGCACCCCGCAATCACAGCGTTTTCTCTGCCCAAGTCCTGTCCAAAAAGCAGTGCTGGAATGGGAAGTGTTTTCTTGCAAAATTATTTTTAGGGCCACATTTTAGGGAACCCACCAAAATGGTGGTTGTCCTTTGGCGTCCCTTTCAATCACAGAAAAGGGTACCCTCAAACGAGGACACAAATGGGATCAGGGCATCCAGCAAAACTCAAACGTTACGAGTTCAAGCGCAGCCGAGACACCAGGAACACAGGCCCCGATGACTGCAAAGGGATGGCGAAGGAGAAACCTTCGCAAGACTCGGCGACATGGGAACGAACAAGCGTTTTCTTCCATCTGCTTTTTCGCCCCCTGGAAAAAAATGAGAACATATTTCCAGCAGTGATAGATTCCCTCAAAAACCAACAGGGGAAACACAAACATAGTCATTCAGCAAATGGAAGTTGAATCATGTTGAAATGAACTACCCTCCCCGTCCACGATCATGCAGCCTGACTATACCGGACTGAGGGCTCCTGGAGGACTATGTTGCTTTGAAAAGGGCCCTCTGGTGGGTTAGTGGACAGGAGAGTATTGTTCCCCACAAGCAATCATGTGCGAACCGAGGGGGCTGCCTTGGCTGGTTAGTGCGTGTGCCTGTGTGTGTGCACGTGTGCGTAGTGCTGACATGATCAACTCACTCCCCTTTGTAGGTATCCTTTAAGGAACCCAGATGGGCGTGTCTTAAAAAAGTGGACCACAATGATGGGTGCCTTAAAACAAGGAACCGCACCCAAATTGGACCCGAATTTGTTGGGAATCCCTTGCTTTTTGACTAGCAGCCCATTCTTTTATATTTTGCGTAGAAGAAACTGTCCTCTAACCCTGCCCATTTTTCTTGCTTCGGTCCAGGGTATGACTGGCCAACGCCTGGCATCCCCTCCAGAACCCTCCCATCAAATCAGCTCCCAAGCTTCCATTTGCTTTTTTGCCGCTTGGAAAGAAACAATATGTCCACCCTAAGGGTCATGACCCCTCCAACGCACACCCCCGGACCCTCCAATGGAGAACCCCGACCAATTCCTCAGGGGCAAAAACAACCCGTTTTGAAGGCCCAAAACAATCGAGACCCTCAGGGCAGTAGTGAAATCGAATTTATTTAGAGCCAAAACGGGAAAATCAACAATATTCATTTTAGTACATGGAAGCTTTGGAGGGGATTCCCTTTAAACTCAACAGCTCGCAACCAACAAAAGAGGGCAACACATGTTTGCCCAAAAATGGGAAAATGAACAATATTCATTTCAGCAAATGGACACCCAGTTCTCGTAAGGAATCCCGTGAGTCGACCCACGTCCCCTCACAAATGCTCACGCTATTGGATGGGCTCTTCAAAATGAAAGCAAGACATATTCCCAGCAGTGAACTCGATTCCCTTTAAAACCAAAAAGGGACAATACAACATGTCAATTGTAGTCATGGATTCCCTTCAAAACCAAACAGGGGGAATACAACATGTCAATTGTAGTCAAGGATTCCCTTCAAAACCAAACAGGGGGAAACAAACACAATCAAACATTTCAGCAAATGGAAGTTCAAGGATCCTCCCTGCCACAACCCCCCGAACAGAAACCCTTTCATTTGCTTAAGCCCCCTGGAAAAATAGAAATATTTCCAGCAGTGAAATCGGTTCACTTTAAAACCAACAGGTTGGGCAATAGAACAAATATATTCATTTCGCCAAATAGAAGTCCTCAATTTGCTTAAGAGTGTTTTTGTTCCCTTTTTGGGTTTAAAAGGAAATCATCACTACTGGAAATATTATCTCACTTTTTCCAGGGGCCTTAACCAAATGGAAGAGTCCCCGTCACACCCCCCATATCCAAAATCCTCCGCCCGCTCCGCCTGGGTCCTCGGTGGCGTTGAAGAGGGCCGGCAAGCTCAGCTCCTCCAGCGCGCTGCCGGTGATGGCCACCTTGGCCTGCGCCGGGGACAAGAAAACATGCTCTCAGTTGTTCAGTGACCACCCGGGAAAAAACCAAAAAAAAAAAAAACACATGTTGGGGCTTGGACCAAATTTTTAGTGGGGCCGCCACCCCCAAAAAAAAGGGGAAAAAGGGTGCCACTGAACAACTGAGTATTCTATGCTAACACATCGGGCTGAAGTCCCCCGAGTTTGACTCACCATGGTACGCAAAGGCTTCTCGCCACAAAGGCATCCAAACGCACTAGCTCCACATTGAGTTGAGTATCGTATGCCACTGTTCACTCACTGATGCCTCACATGAACAAAATATATGCTGTATAAAATATAAACATAAATAAATATATATAGACAAAATAAACATACTACATTGATGTCTATACGTGGTTGAGTCTGGACCATGCAGGGTCATGCCCTTTGGCTCCCTTTCCGAGGAAGAACGCGTTGGGCTTCCGTCCCGCCTGGAGGGCCAAGTGCCGGATCTGTCGCACCAAGTGCCTTGCGAATCATGGGGCAGGTGGCCAAATTTGTCCGTGCACGAGCGAACAAAAATAACCCAACATTTAGTTTACCACTGGTCGTGAAGGTGTTGCTACTAAAGGGAGTTCAAAACCAACAAGCCAGAGCTGGACTATACTCAGTTGCTTTCTCCTCCCCTGCTAAAAGTTTAGCTGTTAGTGGTTTAATGGAAAACCCATTAGTTGGCAAAAAGTTAAAAGTCCTAACATCCAAGCAACATGCACCAAAGTATAGTCTGAGGCGCCGTTGTCTCAGCCCTGGCAGGGGCTCTGCGATAGCCACCGCCGCTACGCCGTCCTGAAGCGCTTGTTCCCTTGGAAGCACCAACGGACCTTTCTCTTCCCCAACCTCGGTACTTTCATTTGCTTTTTCACACCCTGGAAAAATGATACAATATTTCCGGTAGTGATAGATTCCCTTTACTTCAAGAAGGGAACATATAAAAGATTCTTAAGCAAATGGAAGGGTATGATAACAACACAAGTTCTTGTTTTGCAGTCCCTCTAAAAATGAACGGCAAGAAACTGAGTGACACATTGCCAATTGAAACGCAGCGAGTTGACTCGCCCTCTTTCCATGGACCCGTTGGGCGGCCCGAGGTGTAGACCCCATGGAATCTATGGGGACCTCTGGCCGCCTTGTGTTTCAGAAGATCTGATCTCCCCATTCCAGGTCCTCCAGTAGAGTGGTTAGAATAAGGGTACCCTTTTTGCTGTAGTCTAGGGGAACCCTCCCCCAAAACAGGGTAAAAGGGCACTACTGGGGGACCTAGTTAAACTTGGGTCTCAAAGGGCCAGTCTGAACATACTGACGGACGAAATCCGTTCGCACAGCCTAAGGCATGCTGGAATCAGTCGATTCCCTGTAAATACCAACCAACAATGGTGTCAACCATGGTTTCTTAGTGGTGCGAAATGGATTTCGTCCATCCACTGTCTTCCAGATCGCCCGTTGTTATAGTATTTGAAGTTCTCTGAAGTAAACTGACTCAAATTGCTATGACTCAGTTTTGGGCACTGCTCAAGTTGACCTCAACACCCTGAGGACACGCAAAAGCACGCATGCTTAGACCGAAATCACAGGTCCCAAACCGTTCTCAGGGTTCAATGCTTTAATGGCATGTGTAGCTCAACTTTCGCTCAACAAACATGTGGACAAAGCACGTTTGAAGATAGAACAATGTAGCTCCATGTTCGAATACTGACGAACATGTGGGCAAACAATTTAAGAAAGCAAACTGGAATAAGAACCAAGAAAAAGGAAGCAAACAAAACTAACGGCCACCCTCAGATTCGGGTGAAGTCAACTGGGAGCTTGAATCCTTCAAAAGTTGCAAACCCACGTTTTGGTGCTCGAGGGGAGCTTCAGTCAATTCCCCGTGCCATTTTGGTGTCGGAAAGTTAGTGGCTAGCCAGCCGGGTTCTAGGCTGTCCACGAAGTGTTCATTTCACTTGGGGGGACGTAGAAGTGGGTTGTCACTTAGCCAACAACAACTCCCTAGTGTGGCGAATCGTAAGCTTCTGACAGAATAGGGCAAACGTTCCAAAGGAGAGCCACAGGCTAAGAGGTGTACAGGCCGATAGGTGAAGGGTTTCGTGAAAAAGGTCAAATTCAGGCTCAGCAATTTGTGGTAACACGGCCATGGACCCCTTTCAAGCTCGCTTGCTGAGTGGACTGGCCCAACAATGCTCTCTGCGGTTTGCCACTCAAAAGAGTTTGAAGTCCAGGAACTCGGGCGTGGGCAAAGGGGAACCAAAACACAAACCTTGTGAGTCCAGCAATTGGACATTGGACAAATTATATTTTCGCCAAAGGGGACCTAGAAAGCACGAACGTTTGCACAATACCCTTCTTTTCCTCTCGGAGGGGCCAAACCGCCACAGGCGCCTCCTCCAATCGCCGCGGGTGGGCGATGGGCACTGTATGCACCATGCCGTCTCTGAACACGGCAGCAGGGCCGAAGTGTGCTGGCCTGAGGTGGGATATGAAAAGCACACCTCTCTCACCAAACTTAGGTTCCCCTAGAAGGGTTCTAACAAGTGGGTTCTAGGATGCCACACTGCCATAGTTGTTTGTTGCAAAGCCGATAGAACCCATTGAACACGCCCTCTGAAATAATTAGAAGGGATGACTGATCGGGCCTCCAGAACCCAAACCTTGTTTCCCACGGACCTTGCGAGCGCCACTGCGCTGGGCCTAGGTCCTCCAGTAGAGAGGTTAGAATAAGTTGGTACCCTATTTTTTTCTGCAGTCCATTTTCCAGCAGGGAAACCTCCCAATCAAAAAAAGGGGTAGAGAAGAGGCACCTAGCTTTGGGGGACCTAGGTGAAGCCGGGAAGCCGGAAAGCCGAGGCGTTTTGAGATCTCCCGAGGCCCCGGGCAAGGTGCTGCCGAGGTCCACCTTCAGCGCCACTGTTGGCTTCGCCGAGGTGGTGCTGGCGAGTCGCCGCCAGCGACGCCGAAGCCGAGGCGAGGCCGAGCCGGAGGCAGTGTTGCTACTGTGGATGGCTGCGAAATCCGCTTTTCGCACCACTTGGAAACCATGGTGCAAACCATTGTTTGTTGGTATTTACAGGTGAATCGAATCAGAAGCCACGGTTTCTTAGGTGGTGCGAAATGGATTTCGTCCATCCACAGTAGGGCAGGGGCACCGGATTTCCCCCAAAAAGCTCATCAATGGACTGGCGGCTTCCCACCGATACCATCGCCACTCCTGGTTCCCTTTCAAGGGAAATGCAGAAAAGTTGGCTGTAGGCAGGGAAGAACCGGAAAGAACCATGGTGCTACGGGGCCTGACCCCAGTTGCCAAACCAAAGTTCATAAAACAATGGTTACTTACTAAGTTGAGCACTTGAGGCAGCAACCCTGCAACTACCCTGCAAATTACCATGCTGTTGTGATTGTCGTCCAGCTTTGGCCTTTTAGGCTTCCACCTTGATCCCATCTTCCAGGTCGTTGCCGGCGGGGGGGGGGAGGGGGCAGGCATCATGTGGCATGACTGAATTGGATGGATTGCACTGCTCGCACTCGTCTTCCTATGGCAGTAGGCTTTTAAGAGACTCGACTCGGGGATGCTAGTTCGCTCTGACTTGAGATGTTTCCTCGATCCCCGGCCCAAGAGAATACATCAACAGATCCCAGACCTGTCAATGAATTCTATGCCGCCGGTTTCTTCACGAATCCAACTGTCCTGCTCCCCGCGGTCCCCGCGTGTATCTGTGGCTGGGCCTCGGGTTCGCATCTTCGGGCGCCGCGATGCTGTATTGGCAGCCTGCGCTTGCTGCGAGTTTCGCCAGATGCAAACCTGTCCCTATCCCAGCGCCAGACCAATCGGCCGTGTTTTGGGTAAAACAAAACATCCCGGAACGCAGCAGTTTGGACAAGTCTTTACAAGTTCATCAAAGGTGGTTTGGGGTTAGTAGAACCCAGGCGCTGCTGTGTTGCCTTAACAGCCAGCAAGGGCACATGTTCAGTAGGGAAGCCATCCTTTGGGGCAGCTTTCCATTCATCAGGGGCATGAATGCAGTGGGAAGGCTTCAGGACTTGCTGGGGTACCCTTTCCCAGAAGGACCATAATCTTCATGTGTTTGCGCCACGGAATTCATCACCAAACAAGTCTTTCGCAAATGCCAAAGAGAGGGGGCCTTGGACCTTCGCATGCGGAGGTTCCTGATGGACATCGCCCTCCAATCACTGGGTTGTGTACCTCAAGGTAAGGAGTAAGGATTGCCTTTGAATAGCCCTGAATGATACTCGATTGTGCATACAGCATCGTACAGGCAAGAGGCACAACGGGTCGAAAGGCCCAAACGGGGCGTGGATGGCTGATTCTGAACGGGATTCCTCCATTTGTCCTAAGCCCCCTCGAAAAAAAAAAAATGTCCTGTCCAAATAGGGAAATCGATTCCCTTCAAAACCAACAGGGGGAAATAACACATATAGTATTATGCAACATATTCATTTCCGCAAACGGAAGGATTCCGTAGCAATAGGAGACCTACTGGATGGGCCAAACCGGGCGTGAGCGATCGCATGAAAGGGCCTGCATAGCTGCTGTTGAAGTCGATACGCAGCTTCTTGGGTGCATAGCAGGTCTTGTGACACCACTGCAGGCTGCCGTTCCTAGCCAGGCGGTCGCACCCCATGTCGAATCACCGGTTTGTTGCATCCCAAAACCAAGAGGTAGGTCGACAGTCCAAAATTAGGCGCTGGAAATGCAGCAAGCACTGGAGTGGACGGTTTCTCCCCCGTGGGTTGCCGGAAAAACACGCCCGAAAGGTTACCCTAAAAAACGACGGACCCTGCCCCCACCCACTACTCATGCTAGCCATGACTAAACTGGGAAAAGCTTTCTGGACAAATCTCAATCGCTTCGTGAGTGGATGGCCCCAAAAAAGCCCAAACTTGTTGTATGCCACTTCAACGGCCTTCCCAAAAAACATAAAGTCCAGGAAGTGAGCTAAAGCTCCAACCCGAGAGCAGTAGAGTAATATCCCCCCTGCACATGGATGTTTTCTTCTTTCGGCTCAACCGGAACTGACGATTGACGGGCACACCTTGGCGCCCAAGAAAAAGGGGGGGGGGGCACTTCATCCCCCCAAAAAAACAGAAGAACATCCTCTCATTTTGAGCACCCGAGTTCCCCCAAGCATGGAACCTTTCAAAGACGCCGGGTGGTTGGCAGTACTTCCATTTGCTAAAGAACCTCTGGCAAAAACAAAAATCAGTAGTGAAATCGATTCTCTTGAAAACCCAACAGGGGAAAACCAAAAACACCGTTAAAGCCAACAAGGGAAAACCAAAAACACCTTTAAACCAAACACCATTAAAACCAACACCTTTAAAACCAACAGGGGAAAGCCAAAAACACCTTTAAAGCCAACAGGGGAAGACCAAAAACATATTCTTATGCCAAAGAGTGCTTACCAGCTTCGGTTCTTTGCGAATCCAGGGCGCTGGAGCCGGAAGCTATGGACCTCTCCACTGAGGTCGTGGAAGGAGTAGTTCCCGCTGCCTCGACATCGGGGGGGTAGTCGTTAACCCCAGCGGATCCCACTTGGATGTTTCATTCGCCAGGTTAATAAGTGGTTAGTACCCCTAGGTTATACTATGTACAACGAGAGTAACCGCACTTGGGGGGCTTGCAAGTAGGCCATACCCGAAGATGTCAACAACTTGCTAACTTGGCCAAACACCCACGCAAGCCACTATAGTAGGTAACCAATAAATTTATCTTGGCTTGTAAAGGGTGGTTCCCTTAGGTACCTACGATACAGGGAAATGACATCACTGGCAAGAGCATCCCACCTGCAGGTGGTTGCCCACCAGTATGTCACAGTTGGCTTGTTTAACCAAGTAGCTTGGAAGCTTGCACGCGTTTTGGGAACGGTTGACCTTTTGCGGCTGCAGATTGAAATTCGATACACTTCCGATCGAGCCACAAGGCCCAGGACCATCCATTTCGGACTCTCCAAGACTAATGCAGTCAGACACATCTAATCCATTCGAACCCAAGGGACCAACTACCAAGGCTTGCTACAAGAAATGGAACGCCACCTGAACCTGAGATAATTGGATTCTTTGTTCAACCTTGGCTTTGTGTCTCCCTGTCTTCCCGAACAAATGCGTTTGCTCTGAAACTTGCTTCTACTTCGCATCGCTGTTTTCTCGGCCCCAATCCTACTCCTGCGGATCAGTGGGCATTCAAAACCCAAGGCATATGTTGCGATTTGCCTGCGAGCATACCAAATCCCCGCATTTTTCCGTCGAACCATCCGCCTGCCAAAGGGAAGCTCAGCTTTGTTCAGCTTTGATCGAAAGGGCCTTTTTGCACTTCCAGGTTAGTTGGTGGGAGGGTATCGAAAAACAAAAGCAAGAAACAACATGGATGAAAGAAACCGTGCCCAAGCAACCTGGAAAAGTGTCCCCGAAAAACACAAAAACGAACGTAGCCATCCGAGCACCTGGCCCGGTCGGAACCCGAACCCCCGAAACCCGAAGGGTGGCTGCAACCTATGTGCCTAGAGCCCCCTTCTGACCCCCGGGAAAAAGGCTCGGCATTTCCATGCGGAGAAAAAGACTGGGCATCCTGTTTTGGCTGAGTTTCAAGGAATCGGAAACCTTCCAGCAAAAAACTTGAGAAAAGAGCCGGCGGAATCCACTGCGGGCAACTGGGCAAGATGGAGAATGCTGGGCAAACTACCAGAAATTCACCATCTAAACCCTCACTTGTAGGATCGATCTACATGGGTTAAATCGCTCGTTTTGCTCCTGCTTTCGGTGAGCTGGCAAAAGCTGGCACCAAGGAGTCTTGTCACCCAGCGCTTACTTCGATTTGCTAAAGCCCCCCGGGGGGAAAAAAAAACGATCCAGTAGCGATAGATCCGCTTCAAAAAACCAACAAGGAAAAAACATATTCTGAAGCAAATGGAAAATACTTAAGCAAATGGAAGCCTAATATAGAGTGCGATAGAAAGGTTCGTGCGATATCATCCCAAAACTCACTTCCGATCGATCGGATTGGCAGAAAGTCCAGGGCCTCAGGAAGTGAGAAAAAACACCTATGATTTATAAAGGGGTCCTCAAGAAATGCTGGTATAACGGTGCCATTGTTGGTTGCCCAAAGGACCCAAATATACAAGGTCAACCTTTTGGGATCTCTACCTAACATGAACCAACAAGGGAGAACCAAAAGGTCAAAATTTGAACAACTCAGTTTTCGACTGGCCCACACGGACCCCCCCCAAAGAAAACAAACACATGCAGTTGGCCTGAGATTTGGGCCCAGCGGCTGTTCACAGCCAAGCCAAGTACCCGGGAAGCACACGCCAGGACAAGCGCCTGGCCAACAATCAAGCAGGGTAGGTAATGTTGACCCCAGATCAATCAACCCCTGTTTATTAACTGGGCTGCCCTCAGATCCCCCGCTAAAAGTTTAACTTTTAGTGGGTTAAATGGAACCCCCCACTAAACACTAAAAGGCTAAAAAAGCTAAGGGGATGGCTAGGGCAAGCAAGTTAATTGATGGCCCCTCCAAAAGTGGCAAAAGTGATGATTCCCCACTAAACCCCGGGAACCCCCCCTATTGATAAACTAGCGTTGATTGACATGGGGAACATCCTTACGGTGAAATCTCCAACTAGTGCAGATGAATCATTGGGCCATGGTAGATTACGGGGATTTAATTGAATGAAAGGAATGGAATATGACAAGCCACGCCACAACATATGGTAAAACATGCAGGGCTGCCTTGTTTCTACTTGCAATGCGTAGGGTATCCCTCCATAGAATCATCCCCCAACGTCAATGACAAAGCAAAGGAGCGAAACGGGTTTCGGTCTTCGCCGGCCAGCTGTAAAACCTAGCAAAGCTACTTTGGATGGTTGCGAAATCCGTTTGGCACTTGGAAAACACGGTTAAAACCATTGCGTTTGATGGTACTTACAGGGGAAGCATCGGGAACCAGGGTTCTCAGGTGGTGCGAACGGATTTCGTCCATCCCATCCACAGTATTTAGTGTCATGTTTCCAACTTGGGAGGGGGGTTCTGTCAAAATCGGCGGTTTTACAGCTTTTGACATGGCTACCAAAAGAGTCTACACGCTCGCTCGTGCTACGGACTATGATCGTTGTTCCCCCCCCGCGTTGGTTTGGCGGGTGATTTCTTTGCCCTCACCTTCTCTCCTGCAGATTCGCAGGACAACCTCGCAACTATCAGGTCCAAGGGTTTCCCATAGTAAACTCCCATGAATCCCAAGCGAATAAAACCTTCAAGGGAATCCCGAGTTGGGTACAAGCTGCAGAAGAGAATCCATCGACTGTCAATAGTATTGCCCGTGTCATGTTGCTTCAAAGAATCCAACAACCCGATCGGCACGAAGGAAACACATGAATCATGTGCCTGGCAAAGAGAGCCAAAGGAAGCTACTACGCAACTTGAAAACAGCGTCGCAAACCATCCTCTCTGCTTGGAATGCTGTGCCTTCGCCCAATAAAAACACGGGTTTCCGTCGCCACTTGCTATCCAAGATGCTGGAAGAAAAGATGCTCGAGCCATGGCATCAAGCGAAAAACTTTACAGGGTTTGAGGCTGCCTACTTTTTGCTGGATGCCTGCTGCATATTCATGTTCAATAGCAAGCCGTCTGGATGTCGGCCTAACGCACCTGGTGCTAAATACTAGATGCCTGCTGCATATTCAGGAATAGAGACTAAGCATTCATGTTTTTGTTTGGATGTGGGCCTAACGCACCTGGTATTGTGTAATTGTTCAATCGTGCAATCGAGTGCGAATTCGAGCCCCCCTGAAACATCACAGAGGTTGCGTCCAATAGGTTATCTACGTCCTCCGGTAGGGAGGTTAGCATAAGGGTAACCTTTTTCTGTAGGCCATTTTAGTAGGGGACCCCTCCCCCAAAAAAGGGTAAAAGGGGCACCCCTAGCTATGCTCAATCTCACCCAAGGGATGTTCTTGTGCATCCGGTACCCGGCTAACTTCGCCGGAGGCGTGGGGGGACTTCGCTGCTTACACTTCGGAGGACTCAATTCTGGCGGCTTTCACCGGCTTGCTTAGGAGACTGCGTCGACGCAGGGGGTGTTCCTTGAAGGTACCCTTTTTAGGGTTGGATGAAAGGGGGACCAAAAGAAAGCTACCAATTTTCGTTATTTTTTGGGGGATCCCTAAAACAACAACATAGCGACTGGTCTAAGGCCAAGCGTGCAATTGTCTCTGTGCAGCACGCAAAATGGCCTGCAACGCCTGGGTTTGATATCTGAAACTGAGGCGTCGCGCGCGGGAGACATAAGCTCAAAGGCCCGGTGGCCGGCGGGTTTTCCAATCAATGGGCTTTCCTCACTTCCGATCGAGTGGATTGGACACAGAAAAAGTCACCAAACCACGCGTTTACCACCAAAATGACTGTGGGTCAAAAATAGGTACTGAAATGGAACTCTGGTAGTGGCTGGCGGTAGTGGGAACAATGGGGTGGTTCTGGCAGGATTCCAGGTTAAACTCCTGGTTGACCAGTTGGAAATTGCGGGTCCCCCCTCAGGCGTTTATGGTCACTATCTGAACACCCCTAATTATTCATCTGCACAAACCCACGTCATGCTCCTTTGACTTCCCGAGGGACCGACGCACGGAAGGGAAACGAAGTGAAACGAAGGAAATGAGGCACGAAGGAAATTGAGGCACGAAGGAAATGAGGCACGAAGGAAGCAAGGAACCCGGGGCCTCCCGCGTGCTGAGCGGACTACACCAACTGCCCCTGCTGTGAAGTGCCTATTTTTCAAACTTATGCTTACCACCCTTTTTCACGTTGCAGGCACTCCCAGGCCTTTCTGCCGAAGAGTTGCGATGGAAACGGACTCCCAGTTTGGTGAGTACTGCTGGCACCGGTTTTTTGCATGTGCTTATAAGAATATTCTGGGGGCACCGTCCGTGTCCATTCTTTCCACAAATCCAACCACCAAAGACCCTGGAAAAATGACTAAAACTCGCTGTTTCCATCTCTACTCTTGGTAGGGTAGCAAAAAACTGACTGTTCTTTTGCAAACGTCCGGCACAAATGAGAACAGAACCAAAAAACAAAAAAAACAAAAAACATGATCTAAGAACAGTGAAGTGAATTTCGACCATGAAGCCCTTGCGTGGAATAGCGAGAAACAGCTTCAGGTCTCTTTGTTTGCCACTAAGATGGTCTTAGAACATCTAGGTCCTCCAGTAGAGAGGTTAGAATAAGGGTACCAACTTCTTTCGGTCGAAAAAAGTGAGAAAGCGCCCCTAGCTGGGGACCGGTTCAGGCCTCCCCCCCCCGTCCACCCAAGCCGCAACCACGAGGCGACGTCCAACAGAAATCCGAGGGTGCTGCGCTCGGAACTGAACGCGGAAGAACGTCTTTGAGCCAAAGCGACGCATGGGATACCTTGGTTGACGTTGGAAGGGGAGCAACAAAAATAATTGTTTGCAGTTAAGTGGAGATTTCCCACTAAGCCATAATAAGCAAAAATGTAAAATGCTTCCCAACAACGACCATGACTTCATAGGATCATAGTTGGTATTTACGGGTGAATCATCAGAAACCAGGGTTTCTTAGGTGGTGCGAAATGGATTTCGTCCAGCCACAATAGGATCATAGGATTCTAACCCGCACCCCCCCCCTTCTCCCCCCCAAAAAAAACAAAGAAACATGAAAAATAATTCCAACTCCCCAGAAAAATATAAGACATGAAACCTACAAGTCGAGCGCGGGGCTTGGTCTCTACTTGCATCGAGTTGTATTTGTGATTGTGCGACCCTTTCACCCCCTTTCAGTGATCAAATGTTGCTGCGAAATCTTGCTACCACCAAGCAACATGTTCAACATGGGCTACTGTAAATTTGCAAATTTTCAGCATTCCATAGCTAGACATAGATTCAAGGATCCCCAAATAAAGGTCCCATCCCTAGTGAGTGAACAGCGTCGTTGCCCGCTAGGCCCCCCTTCAACAACACAAAACAGGAACGTGTTTTGAACAAGGCACCCAACAGGAACAATACTTCGGGGTGGGGATGCCAATGCCATATACCGGCGGATGCCGTTCCCAGTTGCTTTAGGTGACCCTTTTGGAAACCTGTCGCTCCGATGACACGGATGAAACAAATCTGAGAAATGGCCACATCAAAAGGGAAACCAAAGACGACCTATCCCCTTATGGTTTTTGTAGACTCGGAGCAACCCTAAATATAGCAAATTGGAACTTTGTGGGTGTGATTCCATTTGACAGTCCGAACCTAAGCAAAAAAGGATCTTGCGGCTGAATTCTGAAACAACAGCTGAGTGGAGGTATGCTTTCCAACCAGGTAACCACTTGGTATAGTAAAACTGCACAGGACCAGGCCAACAACACTGAATTATGCCACACTTCTCCCACAAACAAACATAGGCCTAGTTTGTATCCCCAATGGGACCTGAATCCTTCAGGAGCCACTAACAATCCGCCGGTTTCTTTAGAGGAACCTCTTAGACAAAGGGTGCACACAAAACTAACTTTCGATTCTGTTTCCTGTTTAGCAGCCCAAAATCTAAACCCCCTGTTGGGTTCCATGTAAAGCTTGCAGGGGGTAACTGGAAAACCCAAGTTTGCCTGGTGGAAAGCTGAAGATCCACCCCGCCGAGCGCCATACTTTCAGCTTCGGTTTGGAGCCCGGTGGTTTGGTGATTGGGGGTGGTTTCCCATTTGCCCTTTGCAAAAAAGAGTTCAAATCCCCCAAGCGACCAATCCAAACCACCAACTAAGGGTAGCCGGTCTACGTGTGGAAAAAAGCGCGAAGGAATTCTCAAGAGGAAGCCGCGGTTTTTGCACAGGCGCTCGATTGAGACATGCAAGGTCGAATTGCTTTGCTCCTAAGGAGGATTCACACCTCGACTCTCCTGCAGATTTTCGTGGAACCTGAAAATACCCTCGAATGAACCTCCTGCAGGTGTCTTTTATGTATTGAGGAATATCCTCCTCTCAGTTGCCCAAAGGACCCAGTAACACAAGGTTCACCTGTTAGTGCAATGACAAAAGCTTGGCCAAAACAGGAAAATGACAAAAACTTAGACAAAACAGGAAAAACAGGTGGTCCTTGGCCAAAAAACAGGAGAAGAAAAAGGTGGTCAGACTGATCCGGTCGCTTCGCTTTGGGAAAGTTGAGTCCTTTTGGGTTCCGTGGGAAACTTGCAAGGGAGCTGGCAGCTTGGCAGAGGCCGTCGCACGAGTCGCCGGAGTGAAGGATTTGTCGCAACGCCTCTTGGCACTTCGCAGTCTCGCTCGATTTGTTGGGTTCAAATCGTAAATTAAGCCATGCAACGGGACCAAGATCGGTGGATGTGGTCAATTCCAGTGTGATGTTCGTCAAAGAAGGTGATTTGCTTGGTCCCGGAACCATGCGCCAAACCAGGGTAAAGGCACACCACTCAAGGACCTGCTTCCATTTACCAGGGTCTCACTCTCGCCCTACATCTTCTCACACAACAATTGTTCTGGCAGCGTGAGAGCTCCGGAGAAAGGAACAACTCGGTTGCTTTCTGCTTCTTTGCTAAAAGTTAACTTTTAGTGGTCTAATGGAAAACCCATTAGTTGGCAAAACAATAAAGTCCTAACATCCAAGCAAAATGCGCCAAAGACAAGATACCAGCTCCCCAAAAGCAGTGGTTGCCCATTTCCAGTGACCCGGCGATCCCGTCTCGACGTCTGTGGCTCGCGTCAGAGTGCTGTCTAGAGGCCCAACCTGGCGACGAGTCGACACACAGCTCAAGCTTGAAGGACGATACACATCCTATTTGGCTGTTTTTCGCCCTGGAACAGAAAATCATCCGGTAGTGATACATTGGTCCTTTTCAAAACCAACAAGGGAAAGCAAACAATAGCCTTGAGCGAATGGAAAATAAATATCAGGGGCCAGCCAAAGAATCCCCAGAAGATCAAAGGCTCTTAGCGGAACCCCATGTGAAGCAGCTGGGTTTTGGACTAGGTCCTCTAGTAGAGAGGTTAGAATAAGGGTGCCCGTTTTTCGGTAATCTATTTTAGTAGGGGAACCCGCCTCCAAAAAAGGGTAAAAGGGCGCCACTGGGGGACCTAGTGGATTTATCTTCCAGGGGCTCCTTCCCAATGTCGCTCCTAATTACCTGCAATGGTGGTGTTTTCCCAAAAATAACTTCCAGGTGCTCCCAGTTGCAACCAGCGACGCCAGCAAAGCCTTGGTCCAAAACCCTTTTTGGGGCCGGCGCCAGTTTAAGCCCAAAGGAAACATGTCTTCTGCTGGAACTCAAATTTCCATTGCTTGCGCATCGCATGGACTCCAAAGTTTGACCCGCTTTGGGGCTTAATCCCAAACCCCGGGAACAATACAACTGGGGTGATGCATTTTGACTGATGCCTAAGCACTTGGCCGTGGGTGATGGGTGAGTGGGGGTGGATCGGAGAACTCCGACCAAGCTAGATGCACAGCTCACTTCCGAGGATCCTAGGCTTCAAACTTCTTAGGAAGACCATAACTTGGCTGGAAAAATCGGACCCCAGCAAAACATTTTTT